TGGTCGCATATATCATTATCGTATAAATACAGATGAAAATGGTCAATATTATGTTTCAACTGAATTACGTTTTTCAACATTACAACAATTAATTCATCATCATTCAATAACAACTGATGGTCTTGTTCATTTATTACTTTATCCAATAAATAAACATAAGATTCAGCCAGCATTATTTAAAATTGATGATAAATGGGAAATTCCACGATCAGAAATAGCTATGAAACAAAAATTAGGTGGTGGACAATATGGTGAAGTTTATGAAGCATTATGGAAACGTTATAATAAAGTTGTTGCTGTTAAAACATTGAAAGAAACAATGAGTTTACAAGATTTCTTAGAAGAAGCTGATGTTATGAAAGATTTAAAACATCCAAATCTTGTACAATTACTTGGTATATGTACACTGGAACCACCTTATTATATTATAACTGAATTTATGGCACATGGTTGTTTACTTGATTATTTAAAACGACGACCACGTACTGAATTAACATCAACTGTATTAATGTATATGGCTGGTCAAGTTGCTTCAGCTATGACTTATTTAGAAGCAAAAAATTTTATTCATAGAGATTTAGGTACAAAAAAAACAAACATTGATTGACAATTAATTCATTTTTTTTTGTATATTTAGCTGCACGAAATTGTCTTGTTGGAGATAATCATGTTGTTAAAGTTGGTGATTTTGGTTTAGCTCGTCTTGTTAAATGTGAAGATCATTATACAGCTAAACATGGTGCTAAATTTCCAATTAAATGGACAGGTAAGAAGAAAACGAAAACATTATTTTTTGTAATTTTCGTTTCTTTTTTTTCAAGCACCTGAAGGATTAGAACGAAATCAATTTTCAACAAAATCTGATGTATGGAGGTAAGTTATACAATGAAATAATATTCTATTCATTTTCGTTTCGAAGCGAGAGTTTAAGGTGCCTACTAACGAGAAAATCGTTTGGCTGTAGAAAGGCCGAAAGAAAAAATATCGAACCTGGGAAAATATTGAAAAAAGTGATGTGTACAGCACACTCGGATGATCTCTTCCGAGTTCAATGGCTTTGTCGCCTATAGACATTATATGGTGTTTAAATAAAATCCTGAATAGACTCGAGTTTCTATTGATATTTAACTAAGCTATCAAATTTTGATCTGAAGCTTTGCTCATATAGAGAACTCAGCTTAACTAGTTTCCATAAAAAAATGCAGAAGTTTTCAAAAAAGTCTCTTCGAGATATGAAGCTTGCAAAAAAATGCATGTTGTATACACTATCCATGGAAAAGAGTCTACATCTTGAAAGTCTGATATCTCGAAAAGGCTTTATTCAAAATTATGAGTTTTTGTATGAAAGCTATTCTAGTTGAGTCCCCTATATGTGAAAAATTTCAGATTAAAACACGATAGCTTAGTCAAATATCAATAGGAACCCGAGTCCATTTAGGGTTTTTATTCGATCGTTATGTAGTGTCTATAAGCAAAGAGACCATTGAAACTGGAAGTGGACATCTAAGAAGGTTCTCTCGCAAGTAGACCCTTTAACTACTGCAGGAATCACATCGATCTATGGAACTTGTTACATAAATGCGTGATGTAATTGCACCAAGTATTATATTCTATAATTTATATTCTAGTTTTTCAATACTTCTCTGGGAAATTGCTACATATGGTGCTAGTCCATATCCAAAAATAGAACTTTGTCAAGTATTTGATCATCTTCGAGTAAGTACAACAAAAGAAAAAAAATCCTTTGAATAAAATAATTATGTTTTTTTATTTCACAAGGCTGGAAATCGAATGGAACGTCCAACTGGTTGTCCACCTGATGTATATAATCTAATGCAAAAATGTATATAATTATAAATAAAAAAATTCTTAAAAAAATTTATTTTATTAATTTTTTTCAGGTTGGCGATGGAATCCAGATGAAAGACCAACATTTAAAGAAATTCATTCTGAACTTGAAAGTATGACTACAGTTGGATTTAATACTCAAGAAAATGGTATTTATTTTTTGTATTATATAATAAAATATTCAAAAGAAATATTTTCATTTGAGGTACAACAAAAATTTTACCTGCAAATGAATTTTGTGCGACTTCAAATCGTGCTCGAGCTGGTCCATCACTTCCACCTCCTCGACCACCAGCTCGAACATGTTCATTTTCTAGTGTTACATCTCCACCACCACCCCCACCTGCAACAGCTCATCAATCAATTATAGCACGTTTTCTTTCATCACCACGTCCAAAATTATCAACTGATCATCAGCAACAACAACAACCATCTATTAGTGAAGATCCAAATGAACAAACATTACCAACTATTATTCAACAACAACAGCAACAACCATTACGTGATCGACCACGAAATCCTAATCCTGAAGCACGTTTATCAACATTTAGTAAAAAACAAACACCATTACCAATAACCACAGCGCTTCCAAATTCATTTTCAACAACAACATTTGTTGGACATAATCATTCGACAACAACAACAACAACAACAACAAATGGTATTGAACCATTAAATAATGTTGTTTGTGATAGTGTTCAACGTCCAACACCACCATTAAAACCTAATCGAGATGGATCAATAAAAATAAAATCAAATAAAAAATCTTCGAAGTAATTAAATTTTGATTTCTTTTTTCTTTAAGACGACACCTTCCATTTTTCAGGGTTTCTGAAGAATGGTTCATCAGAAAAAGTTAAAACTTCAATAGTAAAAGCTATACTAGACTCAAAGTTTCTGAATGCTGCTTGCTTTATAAAATATTGACTCACAAGCGACCAAAATGATCTCACTTTTCGTCCCCATTTTTCCGAAATACTACGTTTTCTATGCCTGCGGGATGCCCATAATCAGACACAGTATGAATAATATACTGCTTGTTGACTATATCCCATTTTTATTACTAATGGAAGAAATGAAATAGTCAATGAAAGAATTAAAAAATAAGAGTAAACCATTCTGAAGATACTAACTTCTCAATACAGTCCGGCGGATACAAAATTTTCGAATGTCAGAATCAGTCGAACCGTACTTTGATACTTTCAATGATATTTTCTAATTGGAATAGAATGTCCGTTCCGGATATACGGGATGCTTTTTTCCTGTTTTTTGTATTCAGTAACTAGTGCACCCTATACATTTCTCAAAAGAGTCGTCTAAGAAATGTGTAGGGTAAAGTCCATCGAGTCCCAGATCAATCCAGCAGATTCTACTTCTTAACCAGCAATTAGAAATAGTCTTGAAGATAAAAAAATAACCTATGCTAGTAAAAATAAGTCTGAAGTCTAACAATGTCTCATGTATGTCGACATGGGATTTTAACATAATCATATGCTAAAAATAAGATAACTACAAGCAGATTAAACGTAAAGAGGAAATATTTTGAAGAAAAGGTAAAAAGTCGAGTTTGTGAAATAATAGAAGAATCTCAAAAATCGTTTCTTTCAGGGTCAAAAGAAGTTTTTGTTTTTTTGTGCAGACCGATAAAGAATACTTCAAAGTATATATATATATATCAATAAAAAACAAAAAAAATTGAAAACAATGTTGATTTTCATGTTTGCAAAGGAGGGATTCTTAAAGTATATATTTATTTATTTATTTTGATTTTAGAGTGAAATCTAATGCATCAATTGATAGTGTTATATCATCATCAAGTACAAATTTAACAGAATCTAAAACTCCTGAACATCAAAATTCATCTTCAAATTCTTCATCAACAACACCTGAATTTTGTCGTATACATCTTCGACAAACAGGTAATATATCAAATTCAAAAAATTCAAATGAATCTGAATCAACAAGTGAATCAGTTCCATCATCAGTTGGTATGGCAATACGTTTATTTTCTGAATATGCATCAAGTCGTTGCCAAGATACAAAATTAAATACATCATCATCAACAACAACAACAGCAACAACAGATAATGAACAATTAACAGATACAGTACGATCTTTACTTGAAACAGTTCAATTATTAATAAAATATATTCGACAAGTACAAAAAAATCGTCAAAGTAAATTAATTATGTCAAATTCAACAATAACAATTGATGATAATGATATAATTAATTGTAAAAATTTATCAACAATGCCAACAACAATAACATTAGTTAATGATTTAAATTTATTTGGTGATCGTTGCTTAGAATTATCAAAAATTATTTCACCACAAATAGCATTTAAATTACGTGAACATATACAAAATATAAAAGATATATCAAAACCATTATTTGATAATGATGATAATCGTGATGAAACAAATATCTTTTCACAAATGACAAGAATTTTACAAGATATTAAAATAATTCTCGACAAATTATAAATATTCTTTTCTTATTTGTATGAATGACATTGTTTTTTGTATATTTATTTCTAAGTCATCTATTATTGCTTTATACTGCAATCATTTCTTGTTGGTTTTTTTTCTCTTTTGGTCAGATGATCTCATCCTTGTTTTTCTTGATTTTTTTTCTGCGTCTTGTGCATTATTATATTTGTTGTTCTTCAGGGATATTTAAATCGTTAGGCTTAGAGATCTTCTTTGGTAATTTCTTGATCTTTTTCTTTCGTTTTCATTTGCTATTTTTTAGCATGCATTCATGGATGTATGTATAAATGTTATTAAAATCGTGTTTTTTCTTTTTTTTTTTTTTTGATGTGCTTTCAATATTCATTACTGTGTTTTTTTTCCATGTCTGTGGCGCAAACATCATTGTCAAATCAAACTCAAAAATTTGTTTCTTTTTTCTTCGGATTAAAAACAAACAACAAAAAAAAGAAGAAGTTTTGTCTCTGCATGTAAAGAAATATTTATTCCATATAATGTCATACATCTTTGAAAGAATGAATATGAAGGAGACAATAATTTATAAAATAGATATTGTAGAAAAATTAAATCTTTTTCTTTTACTTTATACATAATAATAATTTTTTTTTCGATATGATTGTTTCTTTTTTTTTTTACTTTTGGATATTCAAATCTGTTTATCATGACTCTTTACGAATATTTATTAAAACCAGTTAAATCAATTAGGAAAAATTTGCATATACGTTGTCTTTCTGAAATTGTTAAACAATTTTCAAAATTTTCTTCTCGTGATGAACTTATTGAATATTCTCAACGTCCTATTGAATATTGTTATGGAAATCGTATGATAGAAGCATGTTCACCAAATAATTCAACACCTATTAATCTAATAAAACTTGCATCAGATCTTCGTAATCAATTATTAGTACGTATAGCACATTGTATACATCATTTTCAATCATTACCATTTTTACCAGCTGCTAATCCAACATTATTATCATTACATGAACGTTATTTAAAATTATTTGAAAAATTAACATTTTTTTCCATAATAAAAACCAATGAAGATGAAGAAAAAATTTTTTAATTTAATTAATATGTTTATATTACAAAGTAATGATATTATTGGACACTTATCAATTGGTTGTAGAGAAGCAGAAAAACATTTTAAATCATATAAAATAATGGAAGAATTTCTTGATAATGTTTTACAAAATCGTTTATCAATGCGTTTACTTGCTGACCATTATCTTGAATTACATAAACAACAAAAGAAAAAAGACTTCAATAATAATTGGCGTGGTGCTATTTGTATGAATTTTTCACCAGCTAAAGCTGTTCAACAATGTATTGATGACGTTTCATCAATTTGTTTTGAAACATATAGTGTAGTACCATATGTTCAAATAGAAAATTGTATGCATAAACCTTTACCTTATTTTCCTTCTGTCGTTGAATATATTTTACGTGAATTATTAAAAAATTCTATGCGTGCTATTGTTGAATACAATAAAGTCTTATTAGGTAATATGCAACACGTAAAAAATTTTTTTAATGAAAATCGACAAGATGCATTATGTAAAATTTTTATTACATCAGATCCTAATGATGAACATTTTACTATTGCAATTCAAGATCAAGGTGGTGGAATTGATGAAATAAATGAAACATTATTTCGATATATGTTTACGGGTAAATAAAATACAAAAAACAAAGTTTTTCTTTTAGTTACGTCTTTCATTTCTTTTGTTTTTTTTTTGGTTAAGGTGATATAAAAGAAAAAGAAGAAGAAGAAACGAATGTCATAGCTGATTTTCAAGAACGTATGATACAATCGTAAGTAAAGGGTTTTTAGAAATGAACAAAGAATAAATTTTAAAAATGCTCATTTCTAAGAAGACTTACTAAGGATGCAACGGTGATGATGTACCGTACTGAATGTGCACCAGTTTTACGTGCAGCTTTGCATTGGTCTAGACATATACATATAGATCGACGGTTAACACACGATAAAACTGGTGATCTCGGATTGATTAGATTCATTAATTTTTTAAATTCATTAATATGTCGTCTATTCTGTACGTTTATATATTCACAACTCTGTTGTTTACGAAAAAAAAGAATTAATTTTACTATCAAAATTATAATAGTAAATATTGAAGTGATCTTTACTCAATAATTTTCGCATAAACTTTTAGAACACATCAGTCGTGAGAATATTACATTTGATGCAAGTCTTACATGATCATAAAAATAAATCAGTCTCAATGAAAAAATATTCACCGTGGTACTAGTCGCAATCCCGACACGATCTGGACCATCGTGCTCATAGAATATATAGAAGGTTTGTCGAAGTTCTAGAGTTCGATTTTTTTCGTTCGAGAGAGGCTTAGTTCTTATGATTTAGGGACGTTTTGTAAAACTCAGCTGCTTTCTTGAAATAGACTTCCCTCGATCAAAAAAGTCGAAATGAATCTAAGATCATCCTTATTATATACGTGCATGTGTAGACCAACGCAGCGCTTTACCTAAAACCGGTGCACCAGTAATCGCTGTCACTGTTACATCCCTAAAATTTATCATTGCTTATCATGGGTGGCGCGAATTCAGCGTTGTAGTGCAAGTAATAAAGTTTTAAATCGGTTCATTTTTTTTCCTTGCCCGCTTCAATAGTGGGCAGTTCGACAACAAAAGTTTTCTTTTAGTACAATTTAATTTTTCTCAACGGCATGAGGTTTGGAAGATTGAGCTATCACTCATTTGACAATATATTACGAGCTTCAAATTAGTTTAATGCTTTTTATTGAAAAATAGATTTATTCAAAATAATTTAGCAAAAAACTCAAGTCTTGTTCTAATACTGTTCGTTTATTGATCATTATAGTCTCACCTTAATATTTATATAAACTTTTGTGCGAAACTTAAACAATTATATGAAAGTGCTATCTTATTTAACTATTTAATTTTAGCAGTGAGTTGATCTCCTTTCTGATTGCGAAGTAATTACTAAATTTATTTTTCTTCAGACATTTTAATTTTAAATTTAAAAAAGCTAAATTATAAATTTTATTAAAAAGAAAACAAAAATAAATGATGAATACCGAATGGCAAGTACACTTTTATTTGTAACAAACAGCAAAGTAGATTAGCCATTGTGATTTCATCCATTAAATGTTGGTTAATCCGAGTTCAATTCTTTTATTCAAAGTAGTCAAGTACCGAATAGTAAGTCTTAGAAAAATGGAAGCCAATTTACAATTACGATCTGGCTATTAATTCTGCGGTAGAATTCAGAAATCGCCTACTCTCGAAGGGAAGAGCCCAAAGTAATCAAAATGTCGGACATATATACACGCCGAAAAGTACTTTCATCAGGATAGCAATAAATAAAACCATTAGACTATGTATCAATCTTCCTGTATGAACTGGAATTGTATTGAATGTATACATATTAAATTCAGTAGTCTTACTTTACTATACACAGAAGGTATGGAAGCAATAAGTTCCTATTGTTTCCTCAAATTTACTTTCTAAGAAAAGCAATTCCTACCTATTGTAGTGCTGATGCGCAGCTCATTTTTTTTTAAAATTTTTTTTGACTGCTAACTTTAATAATTATCATAAAAGCTTTCTTTAGATCGCAACAAATGTATGGTCATGGAATTGGTCTTCCTATTTGTCGTCTCTATGCACAATCTTTTGGTGGTTCTCTGTCATTACGACAAGTAGCACGTATTGGCGTCGATGTATATCTTCGTCTAGGTTTTATTCATACAAATTCTGAGCGTGTAAAGATCTGAATTATCTCAATAACTTTTTCTAGTTTAGTTTTTTTTAATATTTTATAATACCTTTTTTTGTTCGATTTGATGAATATTTATTTGCGCCATTTTATATTTTCTATCTAAACTAAAAGTAAATAAAACGAGCATGACTGCTGTACAACGAAAACTTGGTCGTCGTTATCAAAGATATATATCAGCACGACAAACATTTGAAGATAAAGAAGATGATCCAAAAGATATTTGGGAACGTATTATTAAAATGTCTGATGTTTTATCAGCAATGGCAATTGATATACAAACAAATGATATATTTCCATTATATGGTTTAAATAATATAGCTCGAAATGATTTAAATATTTTTTGTCGTGAATATATTGAAATGGCTATTGATTTTTCTTTAAATATAGATCCAACTGACGAAGTTAAAAATTTACGTATAAGAAGTCAAGAACGTGAAATTGTTATTGCATATGATGATGGAACAATTTTTGTTATTATACAATCATTATCAAAAGAAAAGAATACTGTGTTACCAACGTTTTCACTCGATATGTGATTAAGAATAAATTTTTTTTAAATATAAAATATGTGGACGATTTTCATAAAGCTTTTTGCGTAATCAATTATAATTAAAGCATGAAATATCTAAGCTGAGGCTGAGCGAGAACAAATACTCTAGGTGAAGGTTGAGAAAAGTTGATAGTGACCGTGTGGTCTCACGCTGTTTGTCACTCTTCTCCCAAGCTGGCAAGTACTTCTGCAAAAAACTTAATCCAGATTCTCGTTCGAATGTTTTCATGTCCATTTAGAAAATACCGAAATCAGCCATTTCCATCATAAAAGTTGCGTGAAGCTGCTTGACAAGGCAAAGCATGCATCTGGGACACATTTAAAAATTTTCTTCAATAACGTTTGACGTGTTTTGTAAAAAGTTGCCTTTTTAAGTGTCTTCACGCAATTTTCATGATGAAAATAGCTGGTTTTGATATTTTCTGAATAGATGTAAACACATTCAAACGAGAACATCGATTAGAGTGTTTTTCAGAAATTCTTGTCTGCTTGAGTCGTAACTTACATTTTCATGCACCATAGTTCCTAGCCGCTCCGAATTGATCGAAAATAGCAAGCAAGAGAATATCGAAGAATACGATAGAATAAATAGATATCTGCAGTATACATTCGGTTGAGATGAGATCCCAGTCATAGCATAGGTCCTGTGGAGATTAGAAGAATTCTTTCAGATGTACTGGTCTTTTGGATTAATGATCCTTACGCGGAAGTTTATACATTTGGTACGGTATTTATAAATAATATTGGACAAATGAATTTTGGCCTAAAATTTTGTTCATAGACAGCTCTTGAAGTCATTAGAATCTCCTAAAAATTTCAGCCGAAAGAGTTGTCTCTTCTTAAGATATCAAATCCACAAATGACCATGATATTCGACCACAATGAGGAAAAATTTAATTTTTTTTGTGGATTTGATATCTCGAGAAGAGATCACTCTTTTTGACTGAAAAGTTTTTTATGAGATTCTAACGACTTGAAGAGTTGTCAATAAACAATGTCTTAGACTCAAATTCGTTTGTTCGGTCTTTTTTTTATAAATGCGTTACCAAAGGTAAAAGATTTAGTGTAACGATCATACCTTCAAAAGAGCAACACAAGAGAAAGAAACTTTCTGGATTCCTTCTAGTTTCAATAGACCTACGTAATGACTGAGATCGCGTCTCAAACGCGAGATATCACCTTGTGTGGTGCCCAGATAAGCAAATTCTGAATAATTTTAACTTTATTACAAGAGAGTCGAATTTGATCTCTCAATTTCTATTAAAAGATTTGTTCTCAATTCATCATACTTTCTAATATGTCATGAATCACTTGACATAAATTCGAAAGGAATAAGATTTCTATGATTTACTATCTAGGCATAACAGTCTTAAACGTTTTCATGAATAGCTTTGCATCTTAGATTCATGCAGATATAGAATTCACGGTTATTAAATGTTTATTTACTAGAAACGACACTACCAAATTTAAATGTTTTATTGACTATACAATAATAAATACTATGAATATATAGAACTTGAAATAATACTTTTGATTTTTATTAGTAATAAGTTCTCTCATTAAAACCTTTTTCAAACTTTGATTATTTCGAATAATTAATAAATTCTAACAAATAGATCAACATTAATAAAGAATAAACTATTACGACGTGAAATTAATACTGCTGTTAATATCTGCTCATATTATCCTTTCTTTATGACAGAAAATTCATTGGAAATTGTTACTAATGAACATCAATCTCAAACAATTATTTAGTTTCTTATTGATAAACGTGACATGAGTTTAATTACTCTTTTTTGACATTGTCACACAAAAGATATCAAAAATTCAGAATTAATAGGGTTAAGTGCAGTTAGAAAAAATCAACCCTAGGAAATTTTTCAAACATACATTCATCTTGTATGAGACTAATTTATCCACGAGAACTGAAAATTTATTCATAGAATGATCGTGAATCGTTCATTATGTTTTGCCGACTTTTGACACTGGAAATAATCATGAATGTAATACATATTTTCTCCGTTGAAAACTTATTGATATAGTTTGATAGTGTATAAACAATATAAAAATTCAAACATTAACCTTTATAAAAAGGTTATTGCAACAAAGAAAAAGATTAATAGTCCTTTAAAAAACGTCAAACATCATCTTTAATCTATTTTCTTTCTTTTGATGTTAAGAAAGATTTATTTAGGCTTTAAGTTTTTAGCTTTAAAAGAATATTTTATTTGACAATCAATTTTACAAATAAACCGATTTCATACACGTTGTGTTGTAATCAAATTTAATAGATGGTGCAAAAGTTCCTGAAAAAATCATAGAATACAGTTCAATTAATATTATCATATGAAGAAAATATACATTAAAAAAGATGAGCGACACACATCGAGATGTACAATGGAGGAAATGAATAAACAGAAGAGGAATGCACAAAGAAGTCCTTAGCTGATCAAGGCTATGAGGTGTATCTAAAGTTTTTCTCAAGTGAATTAGTGTTATTATTTTTCGCTATTTATGGGGCAAGAAAGATCTTCAATTTCTGGAGCATCCTACATGATTAAAAGCAAAGACTCGGTTTTATCTTTTGCAAGGATGAAAAATTCTCAACACTTGTAACGCCGAATACGTTCGCGCGAGCAACTATTGATTCAAATCATGCTTTCCAAAAACCATAATAAATCAAAATTTTCTTGAATGAAGGTTTAAGTCTTTGAAAACTATTTACACTGATGCAATTGGCATTACTTTCCGGTGCGAAATTTTTTGCGTTCTGATTAAAAACTCTGCTGTCTCATATCGTTTCATTCAAAAATCTGATTTGTCCGTAAATGACAGTTACAACACTTCTTAAAACTATTTATCGCCGAAGGCGACCATGCTTAAAAACGAAGCTCTTCAGACGTAAAAAACTTCGTAATATGTCACTCAAACTAATGATCGGAGAGTTCTTAGATCAACTATAACTGTATAGCCGTTACTTTTTGCTTAGTGAAAAACATCATTTATCTCTGTGTTTTTGAAAGAAAAAAACTTAACAAAATCTCAGTATTTATTTGTTTTGCAGCATTTTGACTAATAACAGTAATAAAAATGTCCCATTATGGCCAGAGGTGCCACACTTCCCTGTAAATCCTACTCTAGAAAAATCAAGAACATCTATTCAGAATATATTTTAAATGCTCTTTCTAATGGTGGGTTCAAAAGAAGTTCTATTGCCTCTTGTTATTGAATAATGAATAAAATTTCAAACAGAAAACAGCTTGAAATTTATATTATGACATTGCTTAAGATGACAATGAAAACAAATCTAGCCGCGAAGCTCTTTCGAAGATTTGTTTTTTACTCAATAATAAGACGTCATAGAATTTTTTTTGAATAAACATTTAGAAAGAGCATTTAACGTAGATTCTGAATAGATATTGTTGATTTTTTTTCAAAGTTTGTTTTAGTCAATGAAAAATGAAACAATATTTTCCCATCACACGTTACTTATACAAATTCACCTAATGAAAATTCTGTTATTAATACTTATCAAGATTCTCGTTGATAAGCAGATTCGATATATATGTTATTGCTAGTATTTATTCATGCACATAATACACGTTAATATATGATGAAAAGAAAAATGATACCAACTTATTTTTTATTCAGACATTCATACGTATTAAGTAAGATGCACTTCATAGAGTGCGAGTACTTGAATATAATTCAATGCAATAACCCTTTCTTTTTTCGTTGAAGGAAAGCATTGTTCGAAATTGAATAAAACACAACGAAGCGATATGGAATGACGTTGTATGAAAATAAATTTGATTTATTATTATTTTTGAAAATGTATATAGTATTTGACATTAATCTAAATACGAAATCAAGTTTTCCCAATTCTTGTATTTAATAGAAAAAATGTTTGAATCATTGGACCTAAAATTTTTGTCTTCCTATTTTTGTGTATGTTGATTTTTTTCATAATGCCATAAGTAAAGATTATGGAATGTCAAATAGAGCTGAAAGTCATTTTCATACAATAAAAATTTTTGTAAGTATTTAAAATTTTATAAAAAGAGACATAAAACAAGAAAAAATTCTTTATCCAACAAACTCTGAGAAAATTCAATTATGTTTAATAACTAATTCTTCTCTTTGTCTATTTCATATTCATGTTTATTTTTCTAATTAATGATAAAAATGATGTATTTTAATAAGAAAGTCTTATAACGAAGAGTATATTTAGGTTTACTTGACATCTCAGTCTTTGAGAATATGTAATAATAATTTAGTTAATTATTGTGTATGTCTTCTTTAATGACAAACTCAAATTTAATTTTATTTAACTCAAAGAAAAACAGTATCATTTTTTTTTTATAAATATTACAATTATAATATATTATTTATAATTAATCTCGTTCTCATGTCATGTAAAATAGCGGCATCTGATTTGTTATAAT